TTCGCCCCTTGGAACCCCAACGGGGCGCTGCCCCGTACCCCGCCAGGGGCTTCGCCCCTTGGAACCCCGTTTCAATTATTCATATTCAATTATACATTAGCTCGACGAGCGTGCACTCCGCACTTTCCTAACTCGTTTCTAAGCTTAACGCATAATTGTATCGGTCTTTAGTAAATCACATTACTACTAAAATACATTGGTGATAGTAAAATCACCAACAAAAGGAAGAGAATTAAGCCTATTCCACAGGATAAAAATATGATGTCGCTTGTAAAAAGTCATAATTTAAGTTGATATAATACAACCTAGTCTTGTATAATTAATCATCACTTAGCCTGGATGCCATTTCAAATCCACACATGGCCGCCTTGATGCTTCAAAAGTTTTTCCAAGAGCCATCACATACTACTATACTATCATCTTGAAATTATAGTAATTTGAAATGTAGTAACTCGAATTGTACACATTATTATATAATACTTCTAATTCATAAAAAATTGAAATTATTTAATAATTTAGAGATTTATGACATAAAATATATTAATATTCTTTAATGCAAACAATTCTCCTAATAAACAAGATAAAGATGGGAGAAGGATAAAAAGAAGTAGATGAGAGGAATTTAAGATCAAAGAGAGATTTAAAAACTATGCGAGAGAGATAATTACAACAAAAAAATCAAAGAAAAAAAATATTCATTGGGTTAGTGTAAGACAACTTAATAGTATACTTTTTGTTTATGTTATGTTTTATGTTTTTTTAATATTAGGCTTCGAGTCTTATTGGACCTTTGCGATCAACTTAGAACAGTTGCTCCTATAAGTCATTGTCTTCTGTCATGGAGGATAAAGGTTTTGCAATAACTATCTTGTGTTTCTATAAAGGTCATCAAGGGAGAGATCAGATGAGACGTTGATGTTCTTGGGAAGAAGTGATATTATGACAACACTTATGTGTGCCATTTTAAGAGGTAGATGACTATCACAAATTCTCTATCCTCGTTATTCGTCTACATGATTACCATGGGCATGAAAGAGTATTAATTCAACAATTATAGGGAAATCCCAAATGTTGATATCGGGGAATGATCGTGTGGCCTTTAATCATTTGAGGAGGTATACAATGGGTATGTTTGGATTAGTGGTATGAGATGGAATGGAATGGAATGGAGTGGTAATTAATGAGATTCAATTGTTTGGATTTGCAAAAAACGGATGGAATATAATGGAACATGATGGAATCCATTACATCTCATTCCATCAAATTCCTCATTTTTTGTTCCATCCAACGTATGTGATGGAATGAAATATTTTTAATAAAATAGTCAAACAATAGAGTGGGATCTATATTTCTTTCTGTTCCGCTTCATTCCGCTCTGCTCCGTTATGTTTCATCAATCCAAACATAACCTAGGTTTTCGAATGGACTTTACTATTTTTAGTGAGTACATATCGACTTTCTTGAGAAGTTGTTTTTCCTTTCCTATCTTTACTTTGGAGATTCTCTTAGTGTGAAGGTTGATTATCTATCTAAGAAATTCTACTTGTCGATTCAGTTTCTGACGTGTTCGACTTCATACGCGAGCTTCTGAAATCTTGGCGCCTGAGCTTTTCGTTCTCTTCTCCCCTTTCTTCATTTTTACGATTTATTAGTGTTTCATATTTATTCGCCCTACCTATTAATTCCTACATTTTCACTTTGATTTCTATATGGTTGTTTCCTCTATGTCAGCAATGAGGGCTTGTAGGAAAATTTTGGGAGTTTGGGTAAGTTTGGATGTATCAAGTGTTGTTTTTGTATTTTCCTATAGTGATGTTGTCGTATCCAAAAAATTTAGTCAGTTCAATTAATAGTCGGGCAGAGATGTTAGATAGTCACGGGTTTGAACCCCATTGAATTTCTCTTTTTTTTTTGGTTATTTTACTTTTTATTATTAAAAGGTCAAAATATCAAATATTGACTTTTTTTTGAATTTTTTAATACTATTTTCGTTTTTAATTTATAGGCATTTTTAAAATTTTATTTTTTAATTTAAATCATTGTTTTTAATACACAAAATAGTCTAAAAAAATCCAAAAATATACAAAATCAATCCAATCAAACAGAAGCAATATAATTTTTTCATTAATAATCAAATCAATCACTGATACAATCTCAACAATTATGCCTTTTTCACACAAACTCGAACCCTAAGTTTCAACCAATACAATCATCCTCAATCTTTCCTAACTTAACCCCCATCAAATTTAATTCCTTAACCTAATTTTCATCTAGTCTAAAAAAAATTCTACAAAAAATACACACATACAAACACTCTCTTCTACTCTTTCTTCACGTGTGTGTAGTTTTTAGTAAACATTCCAACCGCACATCACACCATCACTACACCATTGACCAATTTCAAACCAACATCACACTAACCATATTAAACATACACAAGTGTCCCTCTCATTTGATCACTATCATCATCATTGGAAGAAAAAAGACTTATCATCCAAACATGTTCAACCTTTACAAATCACATCCTGTAACCTTCCATAACTATACCTCCCAAACACCATCATCATCCTCAAATCATAACCTCAAACCATCTACAATAACAACTTTCCTACCACAAAAAATTAACAAACAACAACAATTAATACAACCTTCAAGTAAAAGTCAACAACCACAAACTCAAAAGCAAAAGCAAAAAAACAAAAGAATAGTGAAAACAAGTGTGCAATAAAAAGAGACAGTCATCTCCATCGCCGACGCTGGAAATGAAAATGTAACGGAACAACACCACTCAGCCGCCAAAAAAGCTTCGAGCCGCTCCCCGCTACGAGCACAGCGTCGCTCACCGTCGCACCATCGCGATCAGAGCCGGTCGCCGCCCCCATATTCTGTCGAGCGCCCTCATGACCACTTCTCCAATCTGTGTGTGCTTCATTTCGTTTTAGTTGTGGGTTTGTATATTTGATTCATATTGTTTTGATTTGAAATATTTTGAGCAAAGTAAGAAGTAGAGGAGAACAATGAAAATGAAGAGAGAAAGAGAGATTTTACGTGAGAGAGGAAGTACTTTTGTAAAGAAAGTATGTGCTTTAAAGTGATTTTAAATAGAAACAGATGTAATTTCTATTTGTTGTAAAAAAAAATTCTTTGAATTGAGATTATTCAAAGTCTACCATAGGTTTGATGAGTGTTAAATCAAGAAAGTTGTGTGCTTTTTTGTTATGTTAGAAGATTGTATAATAGGTCTTGATTTGAAGCTTGTACAAAGATCTAATATAGTGGAGAATCTTTGAAGGTGTGAAGAGATTAGATGTACATTTGATTGATAAGGAGAAAGTATAAATTTCTTGTGTTCATTTACTTTTAAGTACTTTAATTTTATTATTCTAAATAAAGAGCAATACGTCACATGTTTCTAGAAAAAGAAAAAGAAAAGGAACTTGCATAAAATTCAAAGAAAATCCAGCAAGTCTAATTCACCCCATCTTAGGTTGCACCTCTCAAAACTTACACCACTAACTAAAAGGCTCTGACTTTCCTATATCACCTGAGAATCCGTAGGCATAGGACTTCGAAATCTCAGCGAACACACTAACAATAAACTAACTTTTTCTTCCTTTTGTAAATATATCTTTTTAATAAATAAACAACATAATTGAAAACATTCACTTAGAACACTTTAACCTTATATATTAAGAGGTTCACGTTGAATACAACAGATGTGAGGTATGATAATATATTCCCCTCGCATAACCAACTCATGAATCCAATTTGGTTGTGATGACATTTCTTCCTTAAAAGGGTTGTATCGATGTTTCCTTTTAAAAATAAAACTTCGGTGGTGACTCTGTATTTTATTTCGAGCATTAGTACGTTTGGGTATTTTTCCCGCTGCGACAAATGATTTTGCTCAGTCTACGGCTAATGTGAGTATGCATGAGGATTTGGGTGTCCTTTCTCCAGACACTAGTGCAGAAATGACTTTTTACATCGGGTAAAATTGACTTTTTACATCGGTTTTGGGTCCGATGTAAAGTCAGGTGATATAGTAAATCAGGGACTTTTTACATCGGTTCTGGGACCGATATAAAAAGTCACTTTTTTACATCGGTTATAATATCAGAACCGATGTAATAACCTGTTATTATGCACATTTTTTAAAAAATTGATCCAGTTTTTTACATTGGTTGGAAGTAATACCCGATGTAAAAAGTACCTTTTTTACATCGGTTATAATATATGAACCGATGTAAAAAACAATTATTATGCACTTTTTTTTTAAAAATTGATCCAGTTTTTTACATCGGTTGGAAGTAATACCCGATGTAAAAAGTCCCCAGTGACGCGACTTTTTACATCGGGTATTACTTCCAACCGATGTAAAAAGTCCCTTTTTGAAAGTTTTTACATCAGTTTTACTAATAACCGATGTAAAATGTATGAAATTTTTTTGGAATAGATTATTTATTTTCTGGGTTTCCCTATACAAATATAATTTGTACCCATTTTTTCATATTTTTCCAATATCAAACAGACTATATTTATGTCGCTATATAGATTTCATAGCTTTCCAACATCACATAGCTTCAAAATACACAAACCCTTTTTAGGACGATGTTTTCATATTTTTCACAACAAACTTACAAATTGAACAATTGTATTGCAAACTTGTATTGTATTACAACATACAAACTTACAATTACAAATTCTTCACAAAATATAAAACAATATTCAACTATTTATAAGTCTTTTTCAAAACTTACAATTACATAATATTCACAAAATATACATATACTAAAATATTCAACTATTTCTAAGTTTCCAAACTTGAATTACCAATATAAAATCTTCGGTAGACAACACCAAAATCATATTGCCTGACAATAAATAATAACAATTAACATCAGCAAAAAAATCAAGAAACTCAACACATGAGCAAAAACCACATGTATTGTGCAAAAAACCACAACTTATACAATTCTATAAAACTCACCAAGCTAAACTTAAGTTCCATGTAAGTCAAAGAAACATTTTGCCCAACGAAGTCGCAAATCATACAAATCATCTGGTGTTAATTCTGTTGGGTCATCAAATACCTATAATACATAAATATAACAATATAGAGTTATTTTTTAAAAATTCATATTAAGTCGAAAAACAAAAAGTAAAGAACAAAGTAAAGTTATTTTTAGTACCTGCATCCAATTCTCGGTTATATTAGCAGAGACAATATCCAACATATTTTTCATCACATAGTATCCACAATCATTAGAGTTATGTTGTTGCCTTGTCTACAATTGAATGACATAATTAGTGAATATTTATCGTATATATTTAACTATAGAATTACAATTTACATCACACTTACATTGGGATGAAGCCATGTAGCCTTTTTTCTATTTCCATTTGCCATTTGATGAATCCCAAAAGAACTAATACAGAAAGATATAAATATCACATAACTAAATATACTCGCCAATGAAAAATCACATAACTATTAGTTGTCAATGAAAGTCACATGAAAGATAAACTTACTTTGTAATAATTTTCTTCGTGTTCTGGTCAATTTCCCGATGAAGTGAACAAAATACGACAACTAAATTGTCTCTTGGACACATGACTATTAATTGCCAATGTCTCCTGTACGTGTGTGTGGAAACAGAAAAGTCGCATAAAATATATATGTTATCAAAATCAAAATTAAATAACATAAAACACAATTTCATAAAAATTCTTACCCATGAATTAATGGTAGTAAGTGGCACGCTCTGTTTTCATCACGTAATTTTTCTAGCACGTAATTTTTAACATCTTCTTGAGATTTCGCTACATTATCATTATAAATACACCTAGCAGGGTCCATAAATCCATATAATTCTGAAACGGAATTCTCAAGACAAACACGATGAATATACCTGAATAATTTTAAAATTAACATTAGAATCAAAGTGATGAGAGATATAACATATTAATAGAGATTGACTTTAATAAAACAATAAAATTTACTTACATGCACCAAATTTGAAGAATAGACACGTCAAGCCAATGACCTAAACCCACCAATAACTCTCTGATACATTTAGCTGAAACATAAAAATTAGAGACACTCGCACAATGACTTAATTGTATTGCCAAATGGTTATCATCCAATTTCAAAACCATGAGTAACAATCTCTGAACATCATCAACTTCCACGTCTTTTGTGCTCTCTTTTGTGCTTCCCTTTGCAGCTGAACAACTTCCTTTTCCGCTTCCATCAATAATTTCCAATTTTTGAATGCATTTAATATCACCTGTGCTTTGTGATAAACCCATAGACTTAAGTGTCTCCATTAATGATTGCTGAAACATCTTACGCTCTTCAACCAACTTTTCTTCAAGTTCAGCTCTAAGTTTTGTTTCCAATATTGCAAGTTGTTCATTTACGTCAATATGTTGACTTTTTCTTCCAAAGTAAGTGCTTTGTTTATGGTGTTTTCCAACACCACGAACACGACCTCCATGCTCAGATGTTCCAATGGCTAATGATAAGATATCGTTACGTCCATCTGGAACAATTGCACCTTTTTCAGCTTCTTGAACAAGAGAATCCTACAAAATGCAAAAACATCAATTAATCAATCACAAATATAATGATACTTTGTAATAATTTTTCGTTGTTTACTTACAATTTTTTGGGCAACCTCTTGTGTAGATTTTGATGTGTATTCTCCTCCTTTCTTTTGTCGTGCTCTCTTCCATAACTCATGGCGTGATGGTGGAGATTGACTATCATTATCATCTAATGTGGAATTATCTCTCGATGATGACTTTTCTTTCATAATTTTCTCCTCAAGTAAGCGATACCCTCCACGAGACAATACATGTGGGTATAAATTCTTGGCCACATTATCCTTACCCTTCTGACTTTTTTCCTATTATAAACTCAAACAAATAATTAATCACTAAATATAATAAAAATGTTATGCACACAAAAACATATAACTAACTCCTACTAACCTTAAATTCAGGGGTATCTCGAATCTTGAGAAACTCTTTCCAGGCGTCTTCTGTAATAAAGTTATACTTGACATATGGAGGAGGATCATTTTCAAGTTGATGGTAACAAGTGTCTTTTTCACATATAGGACACGCATTATGCCCTTTAACTTTATACCCAGACAAATTACCATATGCTGGAAAATCATTGATGGTGCAAAACAACATGGCACGCATATTGAACTGTTCGCCAGAATACGCATCAAAAACATCCACCCCTTCCTCCCACAACACTCTTAAATCATCAATCAGTGGACTTAGATAAACGTCTATGTCATTTCCTGGTTGTTTTGGGCCCGATATCATCATCGATAACATAATATATTTACGCTTCATGCACAGCCTAGGAGATAGGTTGTAAATCATCAAGAGAACAGGCCAAGAACTATGGTTAGTACTCAGATTACCGAACGGATTCATTCCATCAGTAGCAAGTCCAAGTCTAAGGTTTCTCGACTCTTTGCCAAAATTTGGAAACAAAGAATCTATATTCTTCCATTGCAAAGAATCAGCTACATGACGAATCTGTCCATCATTTTTTCTTTCTTCTGCATGCCATCTAAGATTCCTTGCGTCATCTGCATTGGCGAATAATCTCTTGAACCTTGAAATTATTGGTAGGTACCATACCACTTTCGCAGGAGGACCCTTTTTTACCACCTCATCATCAATTGACTCACCATCTTTCTTTTTGTAGCGCGAAGCCTTACACTTTGGACAATGATTATACTTTTCATACTCTTTTCTGTATAATATGCAATCATTAGGGCATGCGTGTATCTTTTCATACTCCAACCCCATTGGACACAATATTTTCTTCGCCTCGTAATAACGACTTGGCATTTCATTACCTTCTGGAAGCATTTCGGTCAACAATTCAAGCAACTCGGTAAAACTTTTGTCAGTCCACCCATTCTTTGCCTTCAGATTAAATAATTTTAACACGGCTGACAGACGTGTAAATTTTTTGCATCCCGGGTACAATGGTTTATCCTTGTCATTGCATATAGTATCATATGTATGTGCCCTCTTAAACGAATCTTGTCCAATATCACGCATCATGTCTTCTAGACGATCATCCATTTCTACACTAACACCATCTCTTTGAGACACGTTTGACTTTGCTACTACTTCACCGTGCCATATCCATTTTGTATAACTTTGACAAATCCCTACACAAATTAGATGATCCATGATTTCTTTCTTACTACGTTTTGGTTCTTTATTTGCACAACGAATACATGGACAGAGAAAAAGCGTAGGAAGACTTTTGTCAGCATTACTTTCAGCAAACTGTAGAAATTCCATCACTCCATGTTCGTACTCGTCACTTAATCGATTAGCTCTCATCCAACTACGATCCATAACTATGTTCACACAGAGGAAGGTCTGACGAACGGTGTGTCCGCGGCTGCGCTACTTCACGGAGATTCCGAGATTGCAAGTTGCGCTGCTTCGCGGAGAAAGAAAAATAGAATCAAAAAAGACAGACATACTCAAAAAATAGAAGAGGTAAATGAAGGTTATATATTATATTTATTGGTTTCTAATACTGAAAAAGACAGACATACTCAAAAAAGAATTCATGAGATTTTAGAGATTTTTTTTGTATTGTGTTGAAAATTGAAAATAAGAGTTGAAGTTCACCTACCTGATAAAAAGGTTAGTAAATAAAAAAAAGATGGTAACGTTGTTTCTGATTGAATCCTCATTTTTTTTTAATTTTATTTAAATCACGTTTTAAACAATATACCAATCAATTATTTGTATTCTTATTGTTTCTTTATAAAAAATAAAAACAATATCTATTATTGCAAAAAAAAAAACTCTTTAAAAACAATATTTACATTTCAAATTACTACTATTTTTTTAAGAACACATGAATATTGCTGTATTTTTGGGTACATGAATGCTGCTATTTACTTATTTTATTAAAAAAATATATAAAAAAAATATAAAAATGGTACTATTTAAAAAAAATTACATACGTATATTTATAAAAAAAAGTATTTTTATACCAATTTGGGCCATTCTTTGTATGTTTCCTCTTTCTGACATAGTAGTAGTTGTTATTTCTTTTAAGTGCATGAATGTTGTTGTTTTGTTTAATAAAAATCTTGATATTTGATTTATTCATTTTATTTAAAATGTTTGATTTTTTTTTTCTAATTTTTATTCATTCTTTTTTACTTGTTTCCTTTTATTTTTTTATTTATTAGTTTTTACCATTTATATTTCTTTAATTAATATAATTATATTAATATTTCCTATTTGACTAGATAATAAAAATATACTAATTATTCATTGTTGCAACAGAATAGCATATTTGTCAAACTAAAAATAATTCTTACCTCTCTCAAGACTCTATATACAATTTTTTAAATCATATGATATCTTAAATTTTTCGATTAATATATGAATTTTTCGATTAATATAAATGTCATTATATGTTTAAAAATGACAAGGAAAAAATCTTAAGCTACCACTATATCATGAAACTTTATACAAAATGATTTCACACTCTACCAGGCAACAATAAGAGTAGAATTTGTATATATGAATAACATAGCCAATACACCAACAGGCTGAAAAATCAGATTTTTTTTCCTATGAATTTAAAAATCAAAACATCATATCAATAATAAAAATTATAAAAGGAACAACCAACGAAATAGGCATACATTATTCAATTATAAAAAAATTGTGGCACAATCACCCAGAAGATAAAAGGGCAATAAGAATTTGACAGTGAGAGAAACCAAACAAACCTCTTGGGTTGCAGTGTGTAAGGGTTGGAGAAAGGAGTAAAAAGGTGAAGGGGGTGGTGCAAAAAACCAACGTCAGCAATGAACTCCATGAATGTTAACACAAAATGGTGAAAAGTATTGTAGTGGCTATGAGCAATGGAAATTGAGTGTGAGAAGGAGGAACGAGTTCATGAGTTGAGAAAAAGAAAAGCGAGAAATGAACTTTAAAAATACAGCTATTGTAAAAATGAGAACATGGTATAAAACAGTTGAAGTTACCAGTTGAAACGGCGAGGCGACGGTGAGGCGACGGTTGAAACGGCGGTGAATCGGGCGAGGCGACGGTGAGCCGTTGAAACGGCGGTGAATCGGGCGAGGCGACGGTGAGGAGACGGAGAGCCGTTGAAACGGCGGTGAATCGGTGTTGGGTGTTGGAGCCGTTGACGGAAGCGGTGGTGGCGGAATGGGTCGTGGAAAAAATGGGTAGATGGAAAAATGGGTAGATGGAAAATGGGAAGATGTACAGTGGAAAATGGGAAAATGGGTATTTCTTTAATGTACAGTGGAAAAATGGGTAAATGGGAAAATGGGAAAATGGGTATTTTTATATACTTTTTTACCTCGGTGGAAGTCCCCACCGATTTAATATTATTATTTTTTTTTTTAAGTTAGGCTATTACATCGGTGGAAAGATCCACCGATTTAATATTTAATTTTTTTTTTTTTTAAGTTAGGCTATTACATCGGTGGAAAGACCCACCGATTTAATATTTAATATTTTTTTTTTTTACACGCGTAGGCTATTACATCGGTGGAAAGACCCACCGATTTAATTTTTTTTTTTTTTACACGCTTAGGCTTTTACATCGGTGGGAAGTCCCAACCGATGTAATATCTTCTTTTTTTTTTTTTTTTTATTTACACGCGTTTTTATTATTTTTTTAATATATTTTATATATTAATTCAAGCTATCTTTTTTTACATCGGTTTATATTTAAACCGATGTAATACATGTCTTATATTTTTTTAACGTTTTTGTCACCTTGTTTCTTATTTACAAAAATGCCACCGTGTTTTTTTTCTGGAAATCTTTTACATCGGTGGATGAGATTGCCCGATGTAATAGGTGACGAAAAAAATTTTTTCCCTTATTTTTTATATCATTGCAAATAAATACCTGATGTAAAAAGTATGTTAACTGTATTTTTTACATCACCTATTTTGATACCCGATGTAAAAACTTTTTCTCAAATGTCTTTTTTTTAGTAGTGAGATGAGGATCAAAGGGTATGTGGTCAATATGGTGTGTGTGTTATCCCATTCCATGAATGTTTGTTCTCCTTGGTTGGCTACTGACTTCCATTCGATGAGTTTGAAATAAGTATTCTAAATCATCTTCTTATTGCTCCCTCACGGTTCCACCATGTTAGTTAGGAGTTCGTCAAGGTCTTCCAATAGTGGTGTTAATATTAAGGCAGAAAATCAATGATGACGTTGTTCTTTAATGCAAAGTGGTTCTAAATCTATAGATGGTTCAAGCATAATCTCCATGCGGAAGACCATAAAATACTTTGAGCTTTATTCTCATATTGTGAAAAAACTTTAAGGACCTATTTTTCTTGGTGGTTCCCCTCAATAAAGAAGCCTGTTTTAAGACTTGGAGACTTGATCCTAATGTTCCTTTTTCATGCACGCAATTTTTCATAAATATTTGACTGATAGTCAATTCCCTTACTAGAGTCGAGATGTGTAATTACAAGGAAGAAGATTTGTATGAAGAAGAGTTATATCTGAAAGGGTAATTGGTATCTTTTTTCCAGGAGCTTGGTTATGTAGGGGTAGTTCCTTCCAATCTTGCTTCTAAGACCTGGTAAAACAGACACATTCAAACTCTAAAGAAAAGAGGAAGAAGATCTTTAGTAAGATGACTTTAGCATTTTGTATTCCCCTTTTCCTTTCTTTGGTCATTCCTAATATTTTTTTACATTTTTTATAGATATTATAAAGAGTGAGGATGCCATATGACGATTAAAGAAAGAGATTATAATAGTTGTTGCTTTGGTTAGGATTCTGAACACGCCCTCAATTGGTAGTTTGTCTACTTCGGCACGCCTTCTGGTACCCTGGTTGATCTGATCGTTGGGCGAGTTACCCATATACACTACTATGGAAAATATCTTTCTTCAAACAATATTACAACGGCCTTTCGTAACACTACTACGAAAAACCCATTTAACAACGATTGGGAAACACATATAATCATGTGGTTCCATGTGTTATTGTGTAGAATGTGGTTGTATATGTGAAACTTACAATCACGGTTCAGTGACCATTGTGGTGAAATTTCTATCACAATGGTTGACGTAAACAACCATTGTAATAAGTATAGTGGCACGGGTTCGATACTCAGCTACAATCAAAATTAAAACGCATAAAAATAGCATCTCACTACGGTTAAACGTTCCAACCGTTGTAGTATATGTAAAGTTTATTATAAAATATGGGATTGCTTATTTTTCCCTGCCCCTAATTAACCATATAGAACCATTCAAATATAATTTTGAGACATTAATAAAAAATTAAGTTATTATTGAAAAACAACTTAAAATATCCAATATTTTTCGAATTTCAAGCATCGCATGAATCACGATTTCCTCTTTTAACATATAGGATTTGATTCAATCCCAAATTCTTCAAAGTAATGTTGATAAATGGATGTCATTCTGAGTCTTTCATATAAAATGTGATTTCCTCTTCTTTTTTACTTTATTTTTCAAACATCAAGTTTAGTGTGAAAGACCAAGAATGGAACCCATTTATCAATATTGTTTTGAAGAATTTGTGACATTGAATGAAATTTTATATGCTAAAGAGGGAATTATGATTTACAAGATGTATGCAATTCGAAAAAACATTGGATCATCTAAGTTGATTTTCAAGAATAACTTAATTTTTTAAATTATTATCTTAAAAATATTTTTAAATGAGTGCAAGTTCAATGAGGGATTAGTGAAACAAACAATCTCATATGATATAACAAGCTCTCTAACAATGTTTATCAACAAAAACATAAAATTAATTTACATAGATTGGGAGAACTGAATAACTAACCATTTCTTGAAGCTTTAAGTGAGAACATTTATCAACTCATATTATACGCTTGATACAACCATCATCATCACCATATGAGGTTCATCTAGTTTGTGAAGCCGTGAAGAAGAAATATAAGGTGGATGAAGTTAACACAGTATAGCTCCATACTTCTTATATTTCTCTCCATAGCTTCTAAAACTAGATGAAGTGAAACCGCAAGAATACTTTAAAGACATGTCAACTTGTATAAGAATTTAAAGAATAAAATATTGTTAAGTCACAAGAAGACTTTTTCTTATCAGTTAACAATGTTTTGTTCTTGTTTTGAGAATATTTGTCAACACAAACATCATACAACAACACAAAAAATACTAGTAACAAAAAAACACACATTATAGCAACAAAACACTAACAACATACAATATCACAAAATATATTAAGTTTTTTATAGAATGCACCTCTTATTAAAAATAATCGTGAAACTACAAAGTTCTTCTAGTTTGTGAAGCAATGAGGAAGAAATACAAGTTGTATGAAGTTTCCACAATGACTTCATACTTATTGTATTTTTCTCCATTGCTACACAAACCATATGTACCTTATAAATCCATACTATACACTTGATACCACCACCATCATCACCATATGAGGTTTAGCTAGTTTATGAAACCATGAGAAAGAAATATAAGATGGATGAAGTTTACACAATAGCTTCATACTTCTTATATCTCTTCTCATAGCTTCTCAAACTAGATGATGTTTGTTGTTGTTGATATTTCTTGAATCCTACAAACACCATGAATATTATCAACATGTGAAACCGCAAGCTTATTTGTCAACAACACAACATGAAACAACAACATAGAACAACATACAGCCATAAAAGAAGCATAAACTATCTAACAAGAATAAAATTATAGGAAAACCATGTGAAACATAACAGCAACATACATGAAAATGAGAGAATAAGAAAAAATAAGAATAGCTTTATGTAAGAAGAACAATATTGACGGCTATACTGTAGAATAAGAATGTTAATAATGAATAAGAAGAGAAAAATGGGTTCTAGGGTTTTGTTGTGAAAGATACGACACTACTGTCAAAGAGCGAGTGTTAACTCACTTATATATAAATATACTCACAATGGTTTATAGTACCAACCGTGGTGATATATATAAATGTGTCACAACGGTGAAACATACGAACCATAGTCATAACCCTTTAAGTTTTTTATTTAAAAATAAATAAAAAAGAAAAGGTGCACCTTAACATTAAAAGAATAATATATATGAGGGCGCTGAGGTTCGAACTCATGAAAGCTTGATGGTATCACCACGATTGGCTCCTCAACCGTTGTTATATACAAATAATTCTTAATCAAAAAACAAAAATAATATGGTAGCGCCTTAGTTTAGAGATGTCACCACGGTGTAGAGAAGAACCGTGGTGACCATGGCGTTGTTGTTTACACATTTTGTAGTAGTGTAACTATGGTGAAATGTCATTTTTGGGCACTTTTTCTTTTTTGGTTTTTACTAAAAGATATTTCACTATGGTGAATATTAAAATTCGTCGTGAAATGTACTAAGAGTTACAAATTTCGAATCCTAGTTCCTCCAATTTCCCATTTTATCGTCACAAAAAGGGAATGTTCTTGTATATCCCCATAGTTATTTTAGTTAACCGTTATGTAAAGTCCAATCATTCAATCACGGTTCTTTTTATCAACCGTGATTAAAAGTGATATTTTTTTAATATATAAGTGAAACTATCTCTCACTCAGTACATAATATATGCTTATCTCAAAAGAAAACTCTAACATATTTCACTATTCTCTCTCAAAATATAACCCTAACATCCATATCACTCATCACACTTACTTCAACCTTCAGATTCGTCTTCACCAATCACTACCTTCAGGTGCGTTCATTAAACTTATGCTCTGATTTCGTTTATGTTTCTTGTTACAAATGGTTTCTCGTTTTTTCATTTAATGAATGCTCAATATAATCTTGTGAATGTTATGGTATTTTTTTTACTTAATGGGAAAGTGAATGAAGAAAACCACCTTAACAAAGTGCATACTTTGGTTATGGTACATATGATTTGTGTTGCTATGAAAATAATACAAGAAGTGTGAAGCTATTGTGTGAACTTCATCCACCTTGTATTTCTTTTTCATAGCATCGTAAACTAGATGAAATTCATCATTGATTCCAGTTTCACGATTGTTTTTAATAAAATATGTGTTCTTAAAACATTTTAGTATATCTTGTGTTGTTGTATGTTGTCAGTGTTTTGTTGATAAAATGTATGTTTTTTTATGTTGTTGAATATTGTTGTTGTGTTGTTGATAAATGTTGTTGTATGTTGTTATTGTTGATTAATGTTCTCATAACAAGAACAAAACATTGCTAAGTCATAAGAAAAAGGCTTCTTGTGACTTGGCAACATTTTGTTCATTAAAATCTTATGCATATCGATAGAAGATCAAGTT